TGCGAACAATTATATTTCACCTCGGCAGACTCTCGCTTGAAGTTGTATATAACCGCAGCCCTGCGGGAGGTCAGAAGAGAAAGCGTCGATAGAAATACGGTGTGACAAGATGACCTTCCTGTCCTGGCCGGCTGGAAGTCGCAACCTGATACGATAAAACATGCGATTAAGGTTTTACGGGAGTTCAAACCCCTGGCGATCATTTCAAGTCACACCGGACCTACCCGGGATGTGCGCCCTGCTGCTAGCCACCTTTAGCGGCCCTGGAGCATTCTCTCTTCCGTCCAACTGGCGGAGCAAAAGTCTGATCATTTAAATATATTCTTACGTGAAAGTTCGTTCTACTATGGGGGAAGATAAATCAATGCATATATTTGTTTCCAATTTTACTGTTATCCTGGGATGGCGATGGTGTTGCTAAAGATTATGCCTTGAGCTATCTACCTGCGAGGTGGTTATATGAAATTGACTATGAAGTTCCGCCACTGCCAAAGCCGTTCCAAACCCTGGATCTGTCATGTTCACACAAGCGATTCATACTGGTTGGTTGGCGCTGGCACCTGCTGGGTAACAAGTGGGTAATTACTCGATGCGGAGAATCCGGGTAGGGCATTGTGACCCAAATTCCCCAGCGGGCCGTCCTGGTCGGGCCAAGTTCCGTGAATTACTTCAGAGCCAGGCAAGTAGGGCGCCGGTCTACGATTCTGAAGAGCATCGATCGTGTTCCAGAGCCGAGTGGTCGCAGATACCATCTCACAGTGTGTCTGATGCAAGACCGGCTGAATATCGTTCCATGAGACCTGATCCTGCATGGTGGCATCAGATGACTCCTGCTGTTGCTTGATTTGGCAGAGTTCTCTTTCAAGCCTCTGGTTCTCCTCCAAGACTTTGTCTTTTGCTGTGATAGCCTGCTGTAAGTTCGAAGTTTCCTGGGCCTTTTCAACTTGCAGACGCTGCACCAACTGGGAACCATGGGCTCTCTCGTCGTCCATTTTCCCAAGAGCTAGTTCAAACTCTTCTTGAATCTGGTCCATCACATCCAAACATTGTCGATGTGTCGCCTCATAATCTTTCTTCCGGGCGGTTTTCGTTATAGAATGTCCCTGGAAACGCTCGTCAGCCACGAGTACATTATCGAAGGAAGATCGCATCATGTCTTTCGACGCAGAGAGATACGAATAACTGTAGACAAGATAGGGAATGACATACCAGGTCTTTGCGTAGCTTCGCCACTGGGTTCAGAGTATTACGGTCCGTCTTGGACGTAGAGACTGTCGACCGAACAGAACAAGGCGAACCAGCACGCGACCTGCTAGTGCGAGACTTTGCTTTGGTAGCACCGCGTCCTGCACTCCGAGAGGGCTTGGAGTCATTTGCCATACTGAATCCTTCCGTTCGAGGGATTATTGTTGGTTCAAGCAAATTGCGGTCAAACCGTAAAACACGAATGATCGCAGTACATGTAGCCTCCTGGGAAACAACCATTTTAAAGGTTTAGGTGGAGACCAAAGCAAGAGATCTGAAACAAAATGAAAACGCTGTGCCCTTGCCAAGACTTTGTTTGCTGGCATCTGGACCTTGAGTAGAGAAGATCGAGTAACCATTCTGCACACCGGACCCCATGGGGCGCTAGCGCGAAGTACAAAAAAAGAAAGAAAATGAAATAAAAAAAAGAAGGCAAAAAAGCCTGCCGGTCCATTGTGAAGGAAGTGATCGGCCGGCCCGCACAGAGAACTCCATCCAGRCAATCAGTTGTGTCTCAATATAGGCTATTTGAGGAATCCGCGGAGCTCTTACACCCGAGAAAGACTCTTTGCCTTTAGGTATAATCCAACTAATGTCTCTTGCACAACTCTGCAGAAGTGGCGCCATCTCGTTAATAGCAGCGATCCTCCCCCGTCACGGCCCTCATTGATGGACGTTGTTATAGCAGAGGCGGAATAAAAATCCTAAGCAGTTCCACCATCGACAGAACCAAAGCCTGGTTTCCAGGACAACCATATGAGCCATTTCAGCTACCAAGGCTCACGATTTGGTCCCTTGTCGATCGCCACCCCATTTGCGAGATTGTAACGCTATTATCACACTTCTGATGAGACCTTGGACACAAGGGACTCCCGTCGGACCAAATAATGCGCATGAATATGGACGGA